ACGACGCACATGAGTCTTCTTAACCGCCCAACACTCCGCCCCATATAACATAGCAGGTCTGACTACAGATCGATAGAACTTACCTTTCATTCTGGGCGAAATCTTCGGATCACACAACACCCCTGAAGCTAACCGCCATTTGGCCCAAGCCACTCCAACACGGTGTCCAACATCCCCATCTAACTCCCCATCAGCCTGGATTACCGAGCCAAGATATCGAAACATGTCTACCTTAGGTACTAGATGAGAGTCAATCCTGACTTCCACCTCTGATTCTGTTTCTCTGCCGCTGAAACGACACTCCATGTATTCAGTCTTGTTCCTACTTATTCTGAACCCTTTAGTCTCAAGGGCAAGGCGCCATTGTTCCAACTTCTCGTTTAGTCCCTCACGTGTATCGTCGATAAGCACAATATCATCCGCGAAAAGCATGCACCATGGGACCCCTTCTTGCACACCTTGAGTTAGGACGTCCATCACCAAAGCGAACAAAAAAGGACTAAGGGCAGACCCCTGGTGCAACCCCATCCCTACCGAGAATGACTCAGAGTCGCCCCTGAAGGTCCTTACCCTAGTCATAGCCCCATCGTACATATTCTTGATCGCGCGAGTATACGCGATGGGGACTCCTCTCGTCTCAAGGCACCTCCATAAGACCTCCCTTGGCACCCTATCGTACGCCTTCTCGAGATCAATGAACACCATATGAAGGTCCTTCTTCCTAGCTCTATACTCTTCCATTAACCTCCTCACGAGGTGAATGGCCTCTGTAGTTGATCTGCTAGGCATGAAACCAAACTGGTTCTCAGAGATGCATACCCCTTTCCGCACCCTATACTCAATGACTCGCTCCCAAACCTTCATGGTGTGGCTAAGCAGTTTGATGCCTCTGTAATTCTCGCAGCTCTGGATGTCACCTTTGCCTTTAAACCGGGGGACCAAGAGACTTCATCAAGTTGGTTTTATGGTTGAATTAAAAAATAAATTTTTATATTAAAAAACTACATCAAAAGTTTAACTACTTCCGTCCCAAATTAAATTGCATGTTTATTACTCACAGGGTCAAACTTCATTCACTTTCTTTCTATACTTTCGTTACTTGTTTAATAAAATAATATAGACATGCCATAACTAGTTTTGTGAATCTTTTGATTATACATCATTTTTCATATTAAATGATTTAATATAATTTTAGTCAAACATCGTAAACTAAATTAAACGATTAAAATTGAGACAAAGGGAGTACAAAACATGAGATAACAAGATTATATTATTTTATCAAATGAGTAAAAAAAATACATAAAGAAAATAATTAAAAGTTAACACTTTAACCACATAAACAGTAGACAAATAATTTAAATTGAGACAAAAAGTGTATTTTTATCTCTATAAATAAAAGTGTTTGCATTGTAAACGATGTAACTTAGCATTAGTTTCTATCTCTATAAATAAAAGTGTTGGCATTGTAAATGATGTGATTTAGCATTGGCTGTTGGCTAGACCTGGCAAAACAAAACCGAAACCGATTACCCGAACCGAAATAACCGAAACCGAAACCGGAATGACCCGAAAAATGAAGATCCGAGCTATAACCAGAAACCCGAAATGATCCGAATCGAACCGAAACCGAACTAAATAATTCATATCCGATTTAAATCCGAAACTGATTAGATCCGAAACCGATAATATCCAAACCGATTAAACCCGAAACCGATTAGATCCGAACTCGATAATACCCGAAACCGAAAAAACCGAAACCGATTAGATCTGAAACCGATAATATCCGAACCCGATTAGAACTAAAATCGATAAATTCAGAACTATGTTTGCCTTTCAATAAGCATATTATATTTTTAAATTTTTACTTTTATTTTACCATTTGAACTAATTACATTACTTGCTCATTCCCTCATAAAATGGATTATCTTCTTGAAAAAAAGTACAAAATTTTATGCGTTAAATTTATTATATGTAGAAATTAAAGATAAGTTATACATATAAATGATAACGCACAAACAAATAAAATTTAAGTAATTTTTAAATAGTGAAGTATGATATTCTTTTTTGGGACGAAAGTAATATATGATGAATTGTATGGAATAACTAGATTTTATTCTAATTTCATCGTATTACAATAAATTTTATTGATTTGAGAGTTAATTTGATTAGTTTCAAACCAGTTCACTCAATATTAGTCAATAAAATTAGATGCTAGTGTTAGCATTTTGAAAAGACTCTCTAGCGACAGCCTTTACTGTTATAATTTTCAAATTTGATCTACACCATTACATTTAGGTGTAAAATTAATTATATCTGACTCTATTAAATTTAATTTTCTCTATTTTCAACCAAATATACTCAATAATTTACAAATTTTGTACTCAATTGAATAAAATTCACTTAATTTTACCCAATTTTACTCACTTTTTACCAAATTGTATTCAAATGTAACATAAGACTATTTGAATTTATCTTTTATCCTTTCATTTATATTTTTAAGTATATTAGTAGATGTGAGAAAAATTTGATATTTCAAAACTAAATTTTAAAATCAATTTAATTATATTAAATTTATATCACAATTAAATATATATGTTTTCATAATTTGTAGTCCAAAGTTGTAAAATATGACTAAAAAGTCACAAGGGGAAGATTATTTAGGGTAGAGATAATATAACTAGAAAAAAATATAAAATAATATGAGGTATTGAATTAATGATAGATTGATAAATGTGATAAAACATAAAAAAACACGGATAGTTAAATTTTAATTAGAAAATAATATATATCCAAAATATATTTGATCCGAAACCGAAATATATTCGAACCGAACTAGACCCGAAACCGAAATATATCCGACTCAAATTGTATCCGAACCGAAATCTATCTGAACCGATTTATAACAGAATCGTATTTGAACCGACTCAAAACCGAACCGAAAAATGTATAGAACCGAAATCAAATCCGAACCGAAATTTAACCGATCCGGACCGATCCGAACCGATTATAACATATAACCGAAAGATATCCGAACCGAAAAAATCCAACCCGAAACCGATCCGGTTGATTCGATTGCCACCTCTACTGTTGGCATAACATAGTGTTTTCTGGCAACATGTTGGCATATAAGTGTTCATATTCACTCTTTTCTAAGGATTGTGTTAGAAACCTAACATAGGTGCCCAAATGAATGACAATCACAAATAATCTTCATATATAATTTAGAGACGATAATCATCCGTATTTACAAATGATTATCGTCTGTGTATGTATAAATCATCTGCTATGATCATCCGTGAGACACCAGCACAGACAAACACCCCTATATAGAAGTTTTACAACGGTGTATTTTGGGCCCCAAGCGGTCTCTGATAATGCCCCTCCCCTCCCTCCCTTATGGGCCGGCCCAAGCTCTCATCTGTTCTTGTTCCAATGATCTTCTTCTCCAACTTGATACCTCATCATCATCATCATCATCATCATTTGCAGAGGTTATTTCTTCTGTTAAGGGAATCTGATCGCTATTAGTATTATGATCCTCTACTAATAATAATCGTCTAGTCCCTGCGGCCACCTGAACCCTGCACCGCCATCGCTGGAGGGAGCTTTCGACGCTCTCAGAGATTATCGATTTCTTAAACTCTGAACCCATCTGCACGCGCGCGCGCACACACACACATGCATCCATGCATAAATATAACAGTAAAAACAAGACTGAAACTGAAAAAGACCACAGTAATATATAAGAATATGAGTTAACCCTTCACATTGGCAATTAGTTATGGATTAGAATCTCACAATTTTAAGGATACTTTTGAATATTCTTAATTAATGAGACAAAAAATGTACTCAGTAATTAATTATGTGAACAATTTACCTGAGCGATTATAACGTAGAGCGGGAATGTGATGAAGCTACACCAAATCTGAGAAGCCACCCTGCACAAATTTATTTATTCCCATCTATTTACTGTTATCAAGAAAGCTCCCAAATTTATTATTCCGATTAATTAAAGTTTTCACTAAATTTAGAATGGAAGATCCATTTAAATTTAAATTTAAAGAGGACCCAAAATATATCTTTGTATAGTTTATGATGACGAGTGACATTTACCCAAATGCCAAACGGGTCACAAGGAAGCCACCTTTTTGTGTAAAACATGATGCTCCTTTGATTTCCCACTGTCACACACAAAAAAACATGTTTTAGTTGATCTGGTACTTTTCTGTTTTATTTATTTCCTTTGTTTATAAAAAAAAAAAAATTATCGCACCCTTTTCATTTTAACAATATTTCTTGAACTTCATGAAGTCAAAATAACTCATACTGGATGTGTGTTACGAAAAGATTACTTACTCGTGACCATAAGTATATTGCCATTTCAAATGCATTCTGCAAATCATCAACTAAATCACGTCGGGATAGTTATTATATTTAAGAACGTAACCTTTTATTATTCCTAGCCCCACGAATAATTAAAATAGTGAATTGAGTAGATAATCTAAAATAAATGACCTGAAATGATATGAATTGGATTAAGAGGAGTAGAAATCTGGGCCTTCCAAACCAGAAGAGTTCATCCCTGAGGTTAAAATTATGAAACCCTTCATATGAAGTTTCTGCCCTAATTTCAACTGCCAGTTTCACCACTATGCAGTGCAGCTTTGTACCAACCAGGAGAAGCAACTGCATGCCACAAATCAAACAAATTTAGTGTAATTAATAAGAAAGCGTGTTCAATATGATTTTTAGATAAGAGAACTCGAGACGTCCCTGAAAATTAACAAAAAACAAAGTAAAGACACCCAAATCAAAGTGTATCCGTGCCGTGCATAGTAAAATCAGTCATGCGAGTGCGAGTACAAAAAATTTAATGGCTATAAACAAGTTAGTCTGATATCCGTAGATACTAATTGTGATACCTGAAAAAATGCCTACGATCACCTCTAGAGCAACAACCCATGGGTTCTTATGTACTCCCTCCGTCTCCCTAAGATGTTCTCATTTTGACTTTTGGTGGTTTTTAAGGAGAGTTGAAAAAAGGTGAAAGTTTACCATAATACCCTTAATGAAAAATGGGTAGAGTGTATTAAATGAGGTGGGTGAGGTGTAATAAATAAAGTAAGTGAGGGTAGTTGTGGTATTTTAATTGTTAAAAAATGAAATGAGAAGATCTATTGTGGACAAAGAAAAAGGGCTATTGAGAAGATCTATGGGGGACGGAGGAAGTAGTAGAAAACCACAAACCATGCGAACTGTGACGTAGTGTTCTCATACTTGAGTTCAAGAGGTGTGACGCACATGAGCTGATACGACTCGCTATTATGATTTCTTTTGGCACTCTTTTTAACAAGCTTCAAGAAATTCATCTCAACGGGACACGTGAGGATACCCAAGGCCTCTTAATTTACACTCTTAGTTGTTACTGCTCCCAAAGCATTTCCCCTAGCTTGGTGTTCGCGAAAAAATGGTTTGCATGATTGGAGGTGTCACTTTTACATAAAAGCCCATGGACTGTTGCACTAGAGGTGTTCGTAGGCATAATTTCAGGTATTGCAATGAGCATCCACGGGAACAAGACTAACGTACTTATAGCCATTGGGCTTTTTCTACTCGCACTTGCATGGCTTATTTTACTACGCAAGGCACAAATACGCTTTGATTTGGGAGTCTTTGCTTCATTGTGGGTTAATTTTTAGAGACCTCTCAAGTTTTCATGTATGTAAACACAACACCACGCCAATTAACTAGGTTGGCATTTGTCTATTTTTGTTTCATAGTTTACATTCGGGCTCATGTGGAGTTAAGCGACGGACCTCTTTAGCTTAGAGATATTGAACTTAAATGGATGCATAATGGATATGCAATCTACATGGTTTATATGCTTCGATCATGTTATAAAAAAGTTTACAAAGCATTGAGTTCCGAAGCATATAAACTATGTAGATTGCATACTCATTATGCATTCATCTAAGATTCTAAGTTCAATACCTCTAAGCTAAGGAGGTTCGTCGACTAACTCCATATAAGCCCGAATATAAACTACAAAACAAGAATAGACAAATGCTAACATAGTTAATAGGCGTGGTGTAGCGTTTACATACATGAGAACTCCAGACGTCTCTAAAAATTAATCAACATCGAAACCAAGACTCACAAATCGAAACATATTTGTGTTGTGCGTAGTAAAATAAGCCATGCAAGTGCGAGTACAAAAAACTCAATAGCTATAAGCATGTTAGTCTTATTTCCGTAGATACTTATTGGATGCTTAAAACTATGTCTATGTATGCCTCTAATACAGTAGCCAATGAGTTCTTATGTAGTAATAAATCTACCAACCATGTGAACCTGTTGTGAACACCAAGCTAAGGGAAAAGCTCCTAAAAGCAGTAGCTAGTAACAATTAAGAAAGTAAAAATAAAGAGGGACATCCCCATCTGTCCAGCGAAGATGAAACTCTTGAAGCCTGTTAAAAAAAGTACGCCAAAAAAAGCATAATAGCCAACCCTATCAGCTTATGCATGTGTGTCACAACTCTCTTGAGCTCTAGTATAAAACCATACTACCAAATGCCTCAAGCACTCAAACCATATTTGGGCCACAAGGAAACATCATTGTTGTCATATTATATGACACCCAAAACCGGTATCAAAAGAATCATATATGGGGCTCAATATATACTCCATTTGCAAAAGAAAAAAATCTATATATAGACCTTTAAAACATGAAATTCTCAATATATTGTCCTCAATTCTAACATATTATGTTCATAGAAAGGTATTCCATGATCAAACCTATGTGGGCTATATGTGGAAAACATTATTCGGATCCAAAAGATTGCTCATGGAATAGATATCAATTATAGAGGAGCATGAAAAATGATTTTATTATATTTATCTAGCCAAAAGATATATCTTAAATTCATTTAAAGTGCAACGTACCCGGTATTTTTTATTTTATTGAAAATCAAAAACCATCGAATTGGATGAAAAATACTTCGTTCATATTAAATGCGATGAATACCATAAGACAAATAGATTATTAAACTTGGTAGTATTCCTCTAAAGAAGATTTAGTATTTAATTAATTGGAATTTTGGGCTATTGTGTAATATTTCAATGTATCACCTCTTATGAGGTTTCCCTTTGGTGATAGAACATATTCGTTTTAATTAATAATGTATAAACAATTTAATGGCCTTGATAACTAAGTCTCAACAATAGGGACATGAATTTAAAGATTAGTATGCTCTAACGAGTGTCCATTTTACAAGAATGTTGCGTCATCTTACAAGGACCATACATAAAAATGCAAATCAACATATAAAATTATATACAAAGTAGTTCATACTTCATCATTTGAAGATGAAACTCAAATATTCATGAGTATAATAAACAAGGACACAATTCTATTGACACTCGCCAACGGTGACACTAGCGGTGCGACTACGTTTTTGGAGCACCTCCAATTCTCCATTGGAAAGTTCTTACCCCTAACCCAACTTTAAACCCCCACCTCATACCAATCTTACCCTAAGCCCCCTCCCTCCAAATGTGTGTGCGATTGCATAATAGTCACTGGAGGCTTAGGGCAGAGCTGGGGTGGGAGGGTAGGTGTTCAAGGTAGGAATCATTAATTTTATGATTAGAACACCGAGGTACTCCAAAAATACAGTTGACATTAGTGTCATTATTGGTGAGTGTCAACGGAACTCTACTCTATAAGAAATAACGGTAATAAATTCATTTATGAGACTTACAAGTGTAGGGACGAAGGAAATCCAAAAATAGACATTTGTTCCTGCATACATGCAAGAACAAACAATTGGTGCTTTGAACCCTTTGATCACCAAACCCTACCCCAATATCCTTAGATAATTAGTCGTTAATAATTGGTCTCCGTTAAGAGAAGTTGGCTATGAAGCATTGGTGCGGCAAAGAACACAGGGCACGAAGAACCGTGCGGGTTCTGGTGCGGCGGTGCGCCTTGGGTTTGTTATGCATCGCCGAGAGAGAAGAAGAAACAGTGGATCCGCCGGAGTTATGGCCCTCCGGTATTGCTATTTGATACGGAAGTCACCAGAGGAGTCTCCGTCGCCGTCGCCGCCGGAGTTCAGGCCCTCCGATTGGAGTCGTCATCGCCAATCATGATCGAGGACAGAGGAATCGAAGAAAAAGAAAGGTGTATTGAGAGGAAGCGGGGGAGAATCAGGAAGAAAAAGGAAGGACTTCGAGGTTGGAATTAGGACAATAAATACTAGTCTAGGGTTTACTCATTTGGGCCTGTTTGGGCCAAGTTTTGGGTGTGTCACTGATAAAGATGCTGTAAAGTTTGACTTTGTTAATAGTGAATAAAAATAAATAATAAAAATAAACTAACAAAGTAAATAAAGTTTGACTTTGTGAATATTAAACAAAAAGATAATTTTTGAACGATGGTGTATAATTGGAGTACACTACCCCGAGCACACCTGGTGTAGACCACCCTGGGTACACCAAGCTTTTTCTTTATTGTTATTTTGCTTGTGTGCAGAGATTTATGCATTATCACGTAGACTTTAGAATCATGATAGAATCACTCGAGAATTATATGTCGCGAATGGTCTTTCAATCTAAGAGGGAAAAAAACAATAGTGCAAATTAAAAAGATTTACCGTGAAAACTTAGAAGGATCCACGAGATGGCAAAAATCCAAAGGTGAATGCTGCAGGAAAATACATATAAAAAATTTATTCATATGATATGAATTCAAGACAATATTTATAGGAAAGTATAAAAAAATAAAGTACATAATCATTTAGAAATTTAAATATTTTTGAACTGTATTGATATGTATACCTGATGCCAACAATATGACAAAATTCGGCTTCCATACTTCGAAGCATATACTTATGGAAATCATACATTAGCGGTAGTTGATGTGTCTGAAGTATAGGGGAGCTATAAAATGTTACATGTATGCCGCTGAATATTACTAAAAAGTATGTTTTAAACAAAAAAGTAACACATTTTAATATGAAAAATGGTCACACTATTTTTCTATCAATTACGGACTATTACAAATTGTTTCTGACTCTATTTGAACTGGTCTAGGATGTACTTAATTGAAATCAAATGAATTGAAAGTTTTTAGTTTAATTTCAGTCGATTCTTGACATTTTTCATTCACAGAGTCTAGAAAGTTGTAGAAAAGCAAAATGCGTGCGGTTAGAATTTATTTAGAGGTGAGATAATTGTTGGTTACCAAAATAGGAAATAAAGTAAGTGTAAGGTATTTTTCGGGACATCCAAAAAAGGGAAGTGTAAAGCATTTTATGGGACGGATCGGAGAGAGTAAATTTATACTCCGTAACATAAAAGAGTAAGACAAAACTAACTAAAAAATCAAAATTAACTTGGGGTGCAATTGAAGGAGGTGGGCAGGGTGTTCGGGTCGGGGCAGGGTGGGGGGTCTACTGGAGAGTTAGCCGGTTAGGGGTAGGAACCATCAACTTTAGTACTTTACAAACGGGCACCGTAATGGCTCTGAGTCATCTCATGACGAGGGATTCCAATCTCTCGGCCTAAACTTAGATGTGTGGAATTGATGGGAATAGGGCAACTCACAGTGATGAAACCCAAGCGCAAAGCCATATAGTCAGCTTGGTTTATACAACTCCAAAACTGGCGGCTGAAACAGAGCTGAGAAACATCAATTTCAAGTTTTACTAATTAGTATATATATTCATTTTTTCTTAATTAATTGCTCTTTGGTCTATACATTATTATTATTATTATAATTATATGTTTATTAGTAAACATACCAGCCAAACAAGAACTCTGTGATGGCTCCATGGATGTGAAGTTTGGTGAAATATAAAAGTAGACAAACGCCTCATTTTCGTGTGGTACGAAGCAGCTTCCGAGGAACGTGAACCTGAATAATAAAAAACAGGTAATAAATCTATTTTAATTAAAAAGAGAGTTTGGCATCATATCTTTCATGAACAGACAATGACTGCATGTGTGTCCCACATAATCGCTGTCTATGCATGTCTGTAAAATGTATGGTGTCAAACTTCGTGTGTATTAGTTATAAAAAGCATCTATGCAAAATGAAAAAAAATATCAGGTAGTAAACTTTGCACCTCTTAGTCCTTGAAGAACCATTGAATTTGCATGGTTTTCCCATCTCCTCCAACTAGAGATCTACATTTTTTAAATGAAAACTTTATAGGATCTATCAAGAAAACAACCATTTTTGAAGTGTTACTCTACAATTCTCCATGTATAAAATACTTTAGTTCTGTTTTCAAATCAATTTAACACTTTAGTTTCACAAAATTTATTTGGAAAAGAGATTAAAGATGTGTTTATATATTTATGTTTAAAAATGAAAAGTGGAGAGGACAAGTAAATATAGGATAGAAGTTAGTGTTGAAATATTGGAATAATAATATTGCTCCTTGAATTATGAAGTACATGATAGAATATATAGAGAAGAGACTTCTAACACAACTAGGAATAGAGAATGGAAACTAACTAAAATACAACTTCTACCATAACTAGGAATACTTAATATTATTGTCTAACATTCCCCCTCAAGCTGAACTCTGGCTGAAGCAAGAGGAAGCTTGGACACTGGCCGGAAACTGGAAACTTTGAGAAGAGAGAAGTCTGACATGCGTCGATGGCTGCTCAGATCACGTCGTTGGAGAAGAGAGAAGTGTGACGCGCGCCGGTGGCTGCTGACGTCGTTGGAGAAGAGAGAAGTCTGACGCGCGCCGGTGGCTGCTGACGTCGTTGGAGAAGAGAGAAATTGACGTGCGCTAGTAGCTTCTGACGTCGATGAAGAAGAGAGAAGGTTGACGTGCGCTTGTAGCTGCTGACGCCGAAGAAGAATAGAGAAGGCTATTGGAGGTGCCTGTTTGACTGAAGATCCTTGACATTTTTTGTCTTTTTCTTGGAATCGGGCAATGCCCTATTTCCTTCTTGAAATGGTGATTTGTAGAGGTCTTATTTCCTCTTTCACTACTTCCCCTCTTGACTTTGATTTTGTGTTGATTTACTTTGGATTTTTATTGGTTCAACAGAAGAGAAAGAGAAGGGAGGTTGATGATTAGAATAAGTGATTTTAGAGAGAAAAAGTAAGTTAAGAATTGGTGATGGGAAAAAAAATTTGGGTCTGAGATTTTGATATGGTGAATGGGAGAGAAACAACAATCATTTTTTTTCATTTTTTTGAGAAGATAGGATGAGTTGAGAGAGTTTGTGTGGAGTTGGTTTTTTTTGAAGAACCATGGAGATGACAAGAGAGAAGCTCTTTCTTTGACGGCTTTTTTTTTGTGATTTCAACACGGAAATTTTTTCTTTTCTTTTTTTTTGAATGGAAAAGTTAATTTGAGGATAAAAGAAGGAAAAGAAAATAAAGGTGAATAAGGTGGAGCCACCGTCGCTGGAATTACCGGCGGCGGCGGTGGAAGCAAAGAACTCTTTTAGGTCACCAAGAACGGTGGCTCTGATACCATGTTGAAATATTAGAAATAATAATATTGCTCCTTGAATTATGAAGTACATGATAGAGTATATATAGAAGAGACTCCTAACAAAACTAGGAATAGAGAATGGAAACTAACTAAAATACAACTTCTACCATAACTAGGAATACTTAATATTATTGTCTAACAGTTAGTTTTTGAAAGAGAAGAGAACCTTAAACATGGCTAAGGCGACAGCAAGAAAGCTGTACGAGACATGAGTAACGCCTAAAACAAATAGGAATTGATGAAGTTCCTCAAGACTCTCTTTTGACGCAAAAGATTCATGGCCCTGCAAATAAAAAAAACCAAGAGGTCAAGAATTTGTTAGATATTCCCTAATTTTTTTTGTCTAGTTTTACTTTTTGGCTGTATCTTAATTATTAGTTACTCTCAATTTATGTTTAATCTTAATACAAAAAAATAAGAGAAAATTATTTGAAACAATCTTGCATTTACATCTCATTCTAGAAATAATCTTAACTTTCAAAATTACGCGTAATAATTCAATCTTTTCGCTCGTGTGCACGTTTTAGGTCGCCGTTAGAGATGTAACGATGACCGAACAATTTTTTTAAAGAGACTTAGGGTGACCTAAAACGCGCGAAAAAGGCTTTAAAAAAAAGCGTTAGGTCACCGATAATCCGATGCTTCCCTAAGGGTGACCTAAAACGCGCACACAAATGAAAAAGTGTGATTATTAGTACGTGTTATATTGGAAGGTTAGATTATTATATTTGAAAGAGCAGGCAAAAAAGATGTGATTATTCGAGATTATTTGTCTGGAAATTTGAATAGTAGCTTACTTGTGGGCAGGAATGCTTTCTGGAATAGTTGGCCTTCATCAACTCATCAGGAGGAAGAGACATATTAAAATGATGGTTGAGAGCAGAAGAAATAGGGTTCCATGGAGAGCATGGATAAAAATGGGTGTTTATGGCTGATGATCTTATGCAAATCCTTGCAACAAAGCCTATCCAGTGCCCCATCAGCAGTGACAGAAGACCAAACACCATCAACTCTGCTTCACAACACCAAATCATTCCAACTTGTTAATTAATCTAATTATTTTTTAAAGTGTTTTTTTTTGTATCATTTACCTCTGAACTTTATAATAAATTGCACACGTTCCCTCTGAACTTTGTAAATGAATGGTCGTTCTGTACCAGATCAGGGAGTGTGTTAATCACACGCTCATCCAATGCAAGTATGGATTCATCTAAAGTCATATATCCCATGTGAGTTCTGCAATGTCATCAATTGATTGACCTCTTCATCAATCCATCAATTCTTCATCAAACTCAAACACGTATATAGATGAGCGTGTGATTAATGCACTTTTAAATCTGGCGCAGAGAGACCGTTGGTCCAAACATTTTTAAAAGTTCAAGGGACATTGGTGCAATTTTTAAAGTTTGGGAAGAATCCGCACAATTTTCAAAAAATTCAGGGGTAAATGACGTAAAAAAATTCTTAATTTTAACATCAATATTAAACATTTTTTCAATATACAAGTATAAATTTAAGTTGATTTTTCACATGATATCAAAATATTAATTCATCTTAGGGTCATCCAGTTTTAAAAAATTACCCTCCCTGATTTTCACCAATGCTGCAAGAAGTGGCTTCCTTTTTGTTCTGTCCAACCACTGCAAACCAAAATTTTGAAAGCAAATTAATAATACAAATGAAATATTTAGAAATTGAAGGTGCAAATTTCAATGAGTTTTACTCCTAATAAATTTGGTTTAAAATATTTAAATTGTATCAATTTGCTTACGTATTTAAAGATAATTTAAAAATATCATGATAGACGAAAAAACTTAATCTCCGTTCCGTTCGCCTGATCTGACCTAATCTGATTTTATGAAGATCTGATTTGATCTGATTGCAATTATAATTAAAATGGTTTTTGATCTGATAATAATAATAAGACTACATAATAAGCAAAATAAATAAATTAAAAGAAATGCTGCCTTAATCCATCGTTTACTTAATAGTTCAATCATATACTCCGTAACTGTGATTCTTTTAAATAGAAGTCACAGATTTAAACCTCTTTCCAGCGTTAATTCTATGTACGTTTGTAAGTTGAAAAAATTCTTAGGATACTAATTCAATATTTTCAAATTGTTGTAAGAGGAAAGATTATAGAGAACTCTAGATATTCGTGATGTATAGAACTCTCTGAAATGTTGTGAAATTTTCTAAAAAAACATGTGGAAACCTCTAACATTTAGTCCTGCACAAACTCGGACAGGCTCGTCCGGCCGGCCCAACCCGCCCTTAAAAATAGGCGAATATAGACAATCATATGAACCTGTCTGGCCCAAAAGATAATATACACGGGCTTGGCATTGGGTTTGGCCGCATGGGCCGGCAGGCCCACCCACACTATATGAATATATATAAACGTACTCCCTTCGTATGGGAATTATGTTTCCATTCTACTCTTTTTTCCGTCTCGAAATAATATTCTCATTCTACCTTTTTTCATGCATCTTCCAAAATTACTCTCCTCTTCCTTATCTTCTTTTTTTCTTTTCTCTTTCCTTCTTTTTTCTCCGCCACCCATTTTCCTCATCTCCTCGTTTTTTCTTTTTCTTCTTCTCTCCTATTTATCCTCCATCTCTGTCGTTCCTTCTTCTTCCTCTCTTCAATCTTCTTCTTCTTCTTCTTCTTCTTCTTCTCTCCCATCTATGGTTTCGTTTTTTCAATCAAGGAAAAGAAGTCGATACACATGTTAATTCCTCAACAAATATACTCTCTATAAGAACATATACTCACTCCGTACTACATTATACTCTTTTCGTCTCAAAAAACTTTTTCAATTAAATCTCATACTGCCTCTACTAATTACTCCGTATTAACTTATTTATCACATTATTATTTACTTCTCCCTCCGTTCATGAATAAAATTGTTGTTATGTTTGATTGAAGTTATTTCATATCATTTAATATAAAAATTGGTATGAAATTTAAAAATAAAAATTATATATCTAAAAACTACATAAAAATATATACAGAATTAGATGTGACATGATTATATTATTTTATCAAATAAGAAAGGAAAATAGGCCAACAAAGTGAATAAAAATTGACTTTGTAAATAATGAGCAAAAACTTTGTTATTGGATAGGGGAAGTATTAATCTACTAATCAGTAATCACATCTTACTGTACACTAAGGTAAAATTAAAAAAATACAACTCCAAGATTACAATTTGTTATGAATATTGAACAGTGCGCACATACCATGGCAATCTTATTGAGACCACCGTGAATGAGGAAACCGAGGCAGACCAAGGCGGTGACGACGGAGGCGAAAGCCCACGTGGGGGTTTCGGCGATGGATCTCCCGGCCTCCCTTTCCACCATTATTTCCGGTGAGATGATGATTCCGATGGTGCAAACTAGAGTGGCAGGCCCGGCCGGACTTTTCTTTCCAATTTAAATATATACACTCTTACTATCTGGAGCTGTAAATGCACTTAATTAGTAGATGAGTTAATACAATTCATAGTTTGGTGAACCGTGAACGACCGAATCATTAAGACGAACGTGAATGGATTGTTTCTCGATATGAAAGCATTGTGGCCCCTACACCACATGAGGGTATCGACTATTCCCATATGTTAACTTGGAGAATTAAATGGAGGGTGGCTTTGGGCAATTGGCAAAGAGGGTGAGTTATACTCGAGTTCGATTCCTGACCGCTACGCTTGTAAGTATAGGGTCTTTACAAGAACAAATGCAAATTTCACTTCCTTCCACCAATCTACGATTAAAGTTTAATTTATATCCTCTCAGTGATCGTTTGACAGGTCTAAGAGAACCCTCGATGAAGAATTAAATTGTGATAGAATTTACGATGGGGTAAGGATAACTAGATTGGATATTAAGACACTTCGGCTGAACCACATTAAAAAATTGAACTCAATCAATTAATTAGTTCAACTCAAGAATTTATATACCGATTTATTTCTCTTCAAATTTCGATATGAGATATTCTTTAACATTTCTCATCAAGTGGCATGGACAACTAGGTCATTTTGAATCTAGCCGATTGACCACTTGCAAATGAACTATCACTCCCCAGGAAATGAAAGGATCTAAAATGCCAATACCTAAAAGACCATGAATCGCTAGACATGGACTTCTAGATGAACAATCGAGTTATAGGAGCCACATGTCGTTTCACATCCGGACCACCTGGCTAACAGCAAATGGGCCACTAGGAATGAACTTTTAGATGGACGTTTTAACAAATGAGGTGGGCTAAAACAGCAACGACGGACGGCTCATTGCCGATAGGCCAATTAATGTAGAATTTTTAGAAATCTCGCTCTGATATCATGATAAAATTTATGATGGGGTAAGAGTCACTAGTTTGGGCAATAAGACACTCGGGTTAAACCGTATTAAAAGATTGAATCCAATCGATTACTTAGTTCAACTCAATAGCTTATATACTCATTATTTTTCTATTCAACTTTCGATATCGGATAGACTTTGATAAATTATGTTAAACTTCACAAAATTAAAGTGTTTCAAGATTATATGACCATAAATTTTGTTAAAAGTAGAAAATGAATCTTTTGATTGAGACGAGCCATAAAGAAAATATGAAACTTTTTTATAAAATGGAACGAGAGTATTTTGTAAGTTCGTGGGGGCGCAGCGGAAATCACCAATTGAAAGCTATGCAAACAAATCAACCAATTATGCTGTAGAGAAGATACTGCAGCACTGTCACAGTAACAGATGACGGACAGTGTGTTATAACACTTCTCTGTCACAATCACACACAGACAGAAGCAGATGATGCAGAGAGTGTTACAACGCGTACTGGGCAGAATGCTGTAACTATAAAATGCGTAAAAAAATAACACCAAATATGTTTGCAGTTCGGAGAACTCTCCTAGTTTGCGGGGCCCACGTCCGTGTAATAGTCATCCACTAAATCACTAGATGCAAGTTACACCGGTACATAACAACATGATGAGACACTCTTCTCTGAATTGTTATGACAAAACTTCTAATCTAGGATTTCTAACCCGAACTCTGTTCAGATCCGCTTCGGCTATCACATCTCCACCGAGATCACGAGGACAAACGTGTTGACAGCTCTCTCCTTAAGCTCTTGTCCACCTCCTGGTTGTCACAATCTGTTTTTCATTGTAGGACTCCTTCTTCATGTAGATCGTATCTTTCTTCACGCAAGGGAAGCTCCGGGACGCGACGGGAATGCTCTACTATACATCAGCATATATTCTTTGTTTTCCCTCTCAATCGCTCCAAGTAATTCCCATGGACTTGCTGCGTTTTTTTAGGCTTCTCTTAACATAATCCTAGTATGAATAGATTAGTAGAAGTTGGCTTGAACTCAACTTCCTTAATCTTGATCCACAAGTAGCCTAAAGTGTTGGGATTCCTTAGCATGTACAGCTGGAGTTATTATCATGTAATCACAATCTCAATAGGTCTCTAATTCAGATTGCAACTTAAAATCTCGTGCTCAGACCTCTGATCCCGCACACTGTGTTGCAGCATCGTGCTGTAGCATTTTCTGTGTCAACCTCGAAAACTGCAGCAGCTCTAGAAGTCTACATAAAATAAACCTCTCCTGACAAATAGAGGTTTCTACCTAGTAAAACACCTAACAAATATGGGATTTTATTTTAACAAAAGATTAGCCAACATCATGGAACTAACATATTTAATCTTCTGAGAGCCAGTGTATTTTGACAAATAATCAATAGTGCATTTTAATTATATATCAAAGTGGTTGCCTTGCCACTAAGCGACGGTATCACGCACTCTGATGTCACCGAGCATTCTAGTGCTTTGCTCATAAAATTTATGGTTCATACTTTATAATCTCCCGCTAAATCTCACCATCTCGACCTGAACCGAACCCACCTCCATTCTCGTCATTTTGATCCCCAAACTTTGGAGTAAATTTTTGACCCAAACTCAATTAAACTTGGAGGGGTTTAGCTAACGAAGATAAGGGGTGGGTTCGAGTCAAGATGGAGGTTACCAGTGGGGTTAGGAGGTATGAACCATAAATTTTATGACACTGTTACCCAATGACAGGGGGACCATGCCGTTTAATTATTCATTACATTTTCAGGGTGCAATATATATGTTGGAGACCCAGTTTCACATCAACCACATCCTATATTTGCAGTGTAACTTCAAAATTGCTAGAATTTACTAACATTGACACTAAAATTGCTACTATCAAACTATAATTTACATAGGTCGTGTTTGAAAGTATTTAAAAATAGTTTTCGAGCTTCTAGTTCCCTAAAACGCAATTCTAAGTGTTTGCAAATTAACTTAAGATTATGGATTATGACTTCGGATGTATAAAATATGCCATAAAATTGTTAATCTATTTTCATCTAAGTCGAGAGTAACGAATTTTCGATTTTGATTTTCCACATTTACTTTTTTGAGAACTGACGGTACTCACAAACATCCTCATAACATGATTAAAGAGATTATTAAAAAAGTTGAAAAGATAAAATATTATGTATTTACTAAAATATTATTTACCAACTTATTTTTTTTTGGTAAACTCCATTTTTGTGTGTAAATCAAGAAGTTTCAAATATTTCTTTCTCTCGTTTAAGATGATAATGCTTCCACTTACTATTCCTAGTTTGTTCCGCTTCTCCCTATGAACAACCCCTTTAGATTCGGCGGGACAGAAAGATTACTGAAATGAAGTAAATTAGACTTTAATTATAAATTACACCAATTTTATGCTTAACATAATTACCGAATAATGTAATTGTCAGAAATCAAATTCGATTATATCTCATTTAGATTAGCAAAGTTTTTTAGGAAGGTCAAGGGTGGTCAATAGACTCAATACAACTACTAATTGACAATTGACAGCCCTCCAACCTCTTGGCAGTGGAAAAGTCGCCGCCGCATTCCCCTGCTATTCCGTCCAGATTCATTTCCTTCCCGGTAATGGCCCTGTTTATGAATATCACCACCACCACCACTTCCCCCGTCTCCCTAAAATGACTGCGAAAATGGCTGACGAAGAATTCTCCGCCCCACTGAGTAAGCTCCGTCCCTTCTAATTAACCATTTGAATCCCCCAATTTCAGATTACAAATGTTAAGAAATTGCAAAATTTTGCAGTTCCCATGTGCGAGGAGGAGCCGCCGGGGAGCCCGGCCGAAGAGGAGAGCTCTCCGGTGGAGCAAGTGGCGCTAACAGTTCCGGAAACCGACGACCCGACACTGCCCGCCGTGACATTCCGGGTCTGGGTCCTCGGCGCTCTGGCCTGCGTCCTTCTCTCCTTCCTCAATCAGTTCTTCTGGTACCGCCGGGAGCCGCTGACGATCAGCTCCGTCTCCGCCCAGATCGCGGTGGTGCCGCTGGGGAACCTGCTTGCGAAGGCGGTTACCAGGCGCGTGTTCTTCCCGGGGCGGAGGTTCGAGTTCACCCTCAACCCGGGTCCGTTCAACGTGAAGGAGCACGTGCTGATCACCATCTTCGCCAACTGCGGCGCCGCCAATCCGTACTCCGTCCACGTCGTCACCGCCGTCAAGATCTTCTACCGCCGGTCGTTGACTTTCTGGGTCTCGCTGACCGTGGTGGTGACCACGCAGGTGCTCGGGTTCGGATGGGCCGGAATATTCCGGCGGTTCCTGGTGGATCCGGCTTCCATGTGGTGGCCCCAAAATCTCGTTCAAGTCTCTCTATTCAGGTAATTCCCAAGAATTATTACTGCAATTCTCCTTCAATTAATGTAATTGTTAATTGATTCTGAAATGAAATCTCAGGATTTTACAGTTTCCCCTAAACATGGCAGAGCATTCCATGACAGAGAAGAGCGAAGCAGCAAAGATGGGTTAACCAGAAACCAGTTTTTCACCATTGCCTTCTTCTGCAGCTTCTCCTATTACCTCTTCCCCGGCTATATCTTCCCAATGCTCTCTTCCCTCTCCTGGGTTTGCTGGATATTCCCGGGCTCCGTCCTGGCCCAACAGCTCGGCTCGGGCCTAAAAGGCCTGGGCATCGGGGCTATTGGGCTGGACTGGTCGAGCATATCGTCCTACATCGGGAGCCCATTAGTGAGCCCGTGGTTCGCCACCGCGAACGTCGCGGTCGGGTACGTCCTCCTCTTGTACGTCATCACGCCGTTGCTGTACTGGAACGGCGTGTACGGCGCGAGGAGGTTTCCCATATTCTCCGACGGGCTCTTCAACTCCGGCGGTGAGCAGTACAACATCTCCGCCATTGTTGACCGTGACTTTCGCATCGACCACGACGCGTACGACCGCGAGGGCCGTCTTTACATCAGCACGGTCTTTGCGGTGATGTATGCCTTCTCTTTTGCTTGCCTCACTGCCACTATTGTTCATGTCATCCTCTTCCATGGAAGGTATTTGAAAGAATTATGATTTTACTTGTTTCATTGAACCCCCAATGTAACCATAAATTTTACAAACGTAACACTGTAGGTGCTTCAATTGGAGTTGTTGTCACATAATGTCAAATGAGGCTTCAATTCAGTTTTCTTGGTGTAGGGACATATGGCAACTCAGCAGTTCTGCATTTCAAAACAAGAAGATGGATGTCCACACAAAGCTGATGAGGAGATACAAACAAGTCCCTGAATGGTGGTTCACCTGCATTCTTCTTCTGAGCATCTCAGCTACAATTTTCACATGTGAGCTCTACAAGAACCAGCTGCAATTGCCATGGTGGGGTGTCTTGCTCGCTTGCGCCATTGCCTTCGTCTTCACCCTCCCCGTCGGTATAATCACCGCCACCACAAACCAAGTAATCAATCATCCTTCTGTCCCGAAACAATTGATCCTCAAATAAAATCCTAGCTACGTACTTTGGCAATTATATATGGTCTTGTTTATTTTGATGTAGACGCCGGGTTTGAACGTGATAACGGAGTACGTAATTGGGTACTTGTATCCGGGATATCCCGTTGCTAACATGTGCTTTAAGGTCTACGGATATATAAGCATGAAGCAGGGGCTAACCTTTCTCCAAGACTTGAAACTCGGACATTACATGAAGATTCCTCCCAGAGCAATGTTCATGGCTCAGGTTAATTGAAAGACTTGATGAACGCAATCGATTATCTAGTTCAGCTCAAAATATAGTAGCTTATAAACTCTTTATTTTCTCTTCAAAGTTCTGATATGAGACTCTAACAACTAACTAGGTGGTTGGGACGTTAGTTTCGGCATCGGTGCATCTAGGGACTGCATGGTGGCTCATGGAAACAGTACCGTTCATCTGTGACCGGACAAAGCTTCCGCCGGGCAGCCCGTGGACGTGCCCGAGCGACCACGTGTTTTACGACGCCTCGGTCATCTGGGGTCTGATCGGACCGCGCCGGGTCTTCGGAGACCTGGGCAATTACTCCGCCGTGAACTGGTCTTTCCTGGCCGGCGCCGTGGCGCCGGCCATAGTCTGGTCGGCGAGCAAGGCGTTCCCGAGCCGGCAATGGATCAAGCTGATCGTAGTTCCGGTGGTGCTCGGGGGAACAATGAACATGCCTCCGGCCACCGCCGTGAACTACAACAGCTGGATTCTCATAGCTTTTCTCTCCGGTTTCGTGGCGTTCAGGTACCACCGGAGCTGGTGGGGCCGCCACAATTACGTGCTGTCCGGGGCGTTGGACGCCGGGCTGGCCTTCATGGGAGTGGTTTTGTACTTGTGCTTGGAAATGGAAGGTGTTAGGTTTGAGTGGTGGGGGAGTGAAGTTGATGGCTGCCCTTTGGCCTCTTGCCCAACTGCACCAGGCGTTTTGGTTGACGGATGCCCTGTGTTTTCACCTTAATTGAGGTGTACATGATTGTAATTTTTACTTCGTGTCAATATAACCTCGATTGCGGATGGTGGGGTGACGTGACCCGACCCGAAATCAAAAGGCGTGGCGGGCTTCCCCGTGGCAGCGTCGAGGAGGCCGCCCCTGCGGACGTTCCGGTAGGTTGAGTACGCCGTGGTCATGAGCGCGTTTTTAACTATCTCAACTTAATATTCTCGATTCAAACATATATATTTTGTTATTCTTTATTTATTTGGTTCAACCTTGTCTATCTTGATGAATACTAACTACTAAAGAACAAGGAATACACAACAGATAAACTTGACCTTTCCCAGCGGAAACAAACTACAATGTATCTGCAGGTGGAAAAGAATTTATGTTTACACAGCGGAGGAGTATTGGCTGTGAAAAAATGTTCATGATTACACAGTGTAAAAATAGAATTATTTTTTAAAACAACACAAAAAGTGGGATGATAACAAAGCTAGGTGCATATGATAATACTCCGTTCTCGGTAATAATAATATCAATAATACTGGGAATGATAATAATAAGAAAGAAAGAGGTCACACTGCAAAAGGGAAGAAAATCAAATTAAAACAAAGTTCACAAGAGAAATAGTTTGAAGACGACCAGCAAATATAATTAAAATACTCCGGTCCGTATGAAGACGACCAGCGAATGAATACCTTGCATTTTATTCTCCGGCGGCCTACTCCCAGGACATGGCTACCGGACTTGCCACCCTTGTCATAGTCTTTCCGTCCTTGGATTTCGACACCCACTCGATTCTTCCGAAATAGGACTCCATCATCCCCTTCGCCACCTTCTTCTTGGCTAAGCTCATGAAACTCACGGTGTACGTTTTCTTGTCGCCGATTCCGCTGAAACTCAGGGCACTAGGGCTCACGACGACCTTGACGGAGCTGTTCACCGGCACGGTAACCATGGCGGTGTACATTTCTGCGCCCGGCCTAACGCTGGTCAGGGTTCTCGTTTGCTTCTTTTCTTCTGTCGACAATGAGGCGTCAAACACGACGGCGAACGAAGGGTAGTTGAGGTCGCCTGCGGCATTATTTTTCTTCTTGGGGTCACAGGGGTAGCCCCCTCCAGTGATAGCTTTCATGCTCTTGGGATCGTATCCCGTGGCACAGAGGGAATCGGCGTAGTCTCTTGCGCTGATGTCGTAAACGAGGCCCGGGTCGATGGCTGATAACGGGTCGACGTGACCCGACCCGTAATCAAAAGGTGTGGCCTGCGTGCCCGTGGCAGCGTCGACAAGCCCGGTGGTGCCGTCCCGGTAGGCGGAGTACGCGGTGGTCATGAGCGCAGACCGGATGGCGGCGGGGCTCCAGTCGCGGTGAGCCGCTTTGAGCACCGCCGCAATCCCGCTCACGTGGGGACAGGCCATGGATGTGCCCGATTCGATGCTAAAGTTGACACGTCTGGTGTCGATGGGTAGACCGGTCGGTCCCGCCTTTCCGGTCCAAGCGGCCAATATGTTGACTCCTGGTGCGATCAGGTCGGGTTTGAGTATCTGGGGGTCGACAGGATTCGGGCCCCGGGAGCTGAAAGACGCAACGACCGGTGACGGTTGTTGAACCCCCCCTCCTACCTTGGTCCCACCGAATAGAATGGTCGCTTTTGCACTCCCATTATTCTTCATCAAGTAATCTTTAATGTTCAACCCGTCTTTATACCCCACCAAGGTAGCGGGGAGAATGTGGGCATCTACCACCAGCCCATCCCCGCTAGCTTGGTCATTAGCTAAAACCATCCCCATTCCGCCAGCTTCTTTCACCACATAACCCTTTTCAACCCTCGCACTAATCCCTCGGTCGCAAAGTACAATTTTCCCACTCACCTTCTCCGGGATCAAGCTCCCATTCAAGCATAACTTTCCGGCGGTTGTGTTGCCGCTGGCATCTCCCGCATAGATCAAAGGACGACCTGTGGCGCTTTGAGGCAGAGACTTATTACTCGCACTATAAATCGAAACCCCGCGGTACTTTGCCGCTCCGACGACCTCGACGTCTGCGGGGAAGTCTCGGTCCAGTGTTCCGGCACCGACGGTGGTGATCCAAGGAGCCACGTTCGATAGTGTGAACTGAGTTGGGCCGCTGTTTCCCGCAGAGCACGACACGAAGATACCCTTCGCCATGGCGCTGAAAGCTCCGATGGCGATGGGATCCCATTGGTATCCCGCAGCGCCGCCCGTTCCGCCGAGGGACAACGAGAGGATGTTGACGTTGTCCTTGATGGCCTCTTCCATGGCAGCCAAGATATCGGAGCCAATGCAACCGCTTTTCCAGCAGACTTTGTAGGCTGCTAACCTCGCTTGCGGGGCCATCCCGCTAGCTGTTCCACTGGCGTAGCCAAAAAGGCTAGCGCCAGGAACGTGAGAGCCCGCCGCTGTGGACCCAGTGTGGGTCCCGTGGCCGTCATCGTCTCTGGGGGATAGGGACTCCTCTTCAGGACGAGCATTATTCGCCATTGCCTTGTAACCTTTTGAGAAGTACTTTGCGCCTATGAGCTTTTTGTTGCAGCTTGAATTTCCGAAGTTGGTGCCAGTTTGGCAGCCTCCTCTCCACGAACTGGGTACCGCCAGCATGCCGGCGTCGGCGAAGCTCTCGCTCTCCGGCCAAACGCCGGTATCCAACACCCCGATCACCACATCGCTCAACGCCGACGCGTTGTAATTGTACCCGGTCGACGGCGTCCGGGAAAACAAATTCAAGACCTTGTCCATCTCCAGGAACACCGGGGTCCGGGTCGTATGGACCTGGTACACCCGGTCGGGGATCACGGACAGAACCCCGGGTTTTCCCCCGAGGACCGCGGCTTCCGCCGCGGTCATCGGGGCGGAAAACCCGTTCATGACTTGGGAGTAAGTGTACACCAGGGTCGCGCTCTCCGAGACGGATGCGAGGGTGGCGGAATACCCGCCGGCGGCATCGCCGAATTCCTCCGTCATCGCCGCCGCATAATCATTGTCAAACATGACAATATAATATTGTTTCCCTACACAAAAATGGGACAGTAACAGCAGGAGAAAAATCCTCGGCACCATTTTGCTCTCTTCCATATGGGCCGGGTTTTCTCCAATTTTACCTCAAGGATCTATGATTAAGGGTGAAGAAGATGATATTCTATTCTTTCAATGATTCGGTTATTTATAGGAGTAATTCGTACTGAGAGGGAAACTTGTTAAAAACGTTTTTAGGTCCATTCTCTTTGGGGGAATTTACTTAAATAGCACTAAAACATAATGACTTTCTCTAAATAGCATCATATATGTTTTTCTTCCCAATGTGGCAATTTTAATCATTATGCATTAGTCATTATTCAAGTAAATATTCGTCATCACTGGACATTATGGACATTATTAAGTACTATTTAGGGAATAAAATAGTTTAAGTGCTATTTAAAAAAATGACTTAAGTTTTAGTGCTATTTAGTGCAAATATTTCTTCTTCTTCTTTATTTAGGCCTCAACATATAAATGATTATACTCCCTCTCTCACATATTTTTTCTTATAGAGCATTATTCTAATTTCACGGAAACTTTAATTTATTTGTGTTTTTTCATGAATTATATGATAAAATAAAATATTGTTTTCTGTTAAAGAGCATCCCACATCGGAAAAGTGTGAGGAAATTAATCGGTATATAAGCTCTTGAGTTGAACTAACTAATCGATTGAATTCAATCTTTTAATGTGGTTCAGCACAAGTGTCTTATAGCCCAATCTAGTTGTCCATACTCATCCTAAATTCTATCATGGTATCAGAGCTGGTTTTGGCCCACCTCGTTTGTCAAGGTATCCGTCTAGACGTTCATTCCTAGCGGCCGGTTTGTCTTTAGCCCAGTGTTCCGTATGGAGTATGTTCCCAACGGTCTGTGGCCCGTTTCACACGATTGCTCCCCAGCGGCTTGTGGTCCTTTAGGTGTTGGTGCTAAAAAAAGAAAGTCAAGGGAATGGGAGTTCATTTGCAAGTGGTCAACCGGTTAGATTCAAAATGGCCCGGTTGTCCACTTGAGGGGGAGTGTTAAAGAGCATCTCACATCGGAAAAGTGTGAGGAAATTAATCGGTATATAAGCTCTTGAGTTGAACTAATTAATCGATTGAATTCGATCTTTTAATGTGGTTCAACCCAAGTGTCGTATAGCCCAATCTAGTTGTCCATACACATCCTAAATTCTATCATTGTCACTACTTGTTTTTTTGAACTTTTGATGCAGTTTTTAAATATTTTAGTTTTATTTTTTATTTCTATACCAATATTTAAATAAAATAGATTGAAAAACTTGAGATTTTTCTTCATTTTGTGCAACGTAAATCAAGATATGGGACTGAGGGATGCGAGATTACGCGGCATCAATTTTTTGAATAGAGGCTTGTAGGACCTAATTAGATCCCGAGTCATAGTATGACATTGGATTTTGATGTCACTTGAATCCTTTCACTTAATATATAACTATAATAATGCAAATGCTATAGTATTTAAATTATTCTACTTTTCTTTCAGAATTACTTTTTTAAACTGTGGGTGCAATTTTTTTAATTGGGACACAATTTTAATTTATTAGACTTTTTTTTATATTTCTATACTATATATTTAAAAAAAATGACCACCCGCAGGTGCCCCCGAAAGGACGTAGGTGGATCCGCACTTGAGTATCATAGAAAAGATAAAATCAACTCAATAAAAAAAGAAACATATTCTCTACATCCGGAAAATCTCTTTGAAATAAATGACTGTTCTAAAATTTTGAAATTACGTCTATCTTAAAACTAACTCTTCGTTTCGATCAGTTTACGAGGTTTGACCGAAGTAATTTTTAAATTAATTTATTTGATTATAAATGTGAAATCTTAAGAATATATTTTAAAATAATATCAAATGTTCTATAAAACAAGAGGTGACGTGATTATATTATTTGATTAAATAACTAATGAAAATAAGCAAAAGATAATAATTATAATAAAGTTTGATAGCGTGAATAGTACAAAATAACTGGAAAGATATTTTAGGACGGATGGAATATATCAAAATTATATTTTAAATAAATCCAATCATATTAAGTTTGCATTAGAACTAAATATTTGTTTTTTTACAATTAGTTATCAAAGTTTGTAAAATTTATGGAGTAGTACAAAATGAGTCATTCTAAACAAAATCCCTCAAAATAAGACTAAAATATAGAGAAAGTACAGAAAACTATTTTTCATTTTGGATGTGTCAATAAAAGGCTAAATCTGATTGATCCTTGAAGCAATGTGTTATGTACGATTAGTCCTTTGTGAATTGCTAGTTCTTCAAGTCACATTACTGTTGAACTATTGGTCTTTCCGTGAACTTTGTCGTTAGTCTTTGCATTTTTTTTCATTTTCTATTATAAATATGAACTCTCTATTTTTTTTTTACAATTGAGCCATAGTTCATATATGTACATTTCTAAATATAATACTCCATAATAAGTTACTCTTACTTTTATTAGTCTAATTTTTTAATAATAAGTTACTTGATCTTGTTTTTATTGGTCTATATTTATTTAATTATACTCACTCTGACATTGTCCTAGGTTACTTGATCTTGTTCTTTATTTTTTCCTTTTTTCTACTATATTTTTAGAAATGTTTTTTAAATTTTTTTAAAAAATATTTTTTAAAATAATGTTTTAATAATCAAATTTTTTTGTGTTTGCAATAAAAATCAATTAAATAACAACAATTAACTTACAGTTCATTTGTTTCAAATTAAATATTCTCATTTTTTTGTCTTTATTGGTTCATTTCTAATGATACAAAAATCAATAAAACATTCTCTTTTTTCACTAAAGCTCATTTCTCATTTCTTTTTCATTAAATTTATACCATTCCTTTTAAAGTGTAAGTTTGAAAAAAATAAATTTTAATTCTTTCAGACAAACAATTTTCTTCTCTTTCTGAAAAAGAAAAAGAAAAAGAAAAACAATAATGAAAAAGGTGAAGGGGCGTTGGCGTTCATTTCGAAATCATAAGGGACAGCAGAGTTATTCACCTAATATTTGAAGGATATTTTTGTTCAAAAGGGCATTGTTATAGTAATATCAGAAATATATGAGACAATAACGTAAATTTTGAGATCATGAAAATTAACAATGAGGAGTGATGGTGCAATAAACACTTTTTACTTTTGGAAAAAATGAGGGGAGAACATGGCTGGCCTTAATCAATAACGACTTAGTCAATTGAACAATTCACGCAATTCCGGTCATATTTAGTATTTACCCGGGGGGAAAACAGTGAAGCAAATTGACGGGAATTATCCATTAACGCATCATTGTATTGGCCCTAAAATTTAGGATTTTGTTTTCCAACAAAAACACAAAAACACTCCACCGAGATTTGGGATACAATAGTTTCTTTTTTGGAATGTTTTTCTTGTATTTTAATGCTCCCTCTGTTTATTAATTTTTTTCTTGGTTTATTTTTTTTGGTCAAATTTTTTAAATTTTAACCACAAATTGTGGAAGAAATACTTTAAATCATCATATAAATTTAATATCAATAGAGTAGTGTTTGGCAACAAGGATTTTATTTCAATTCATGCATTTCAATTTCAAGATTTGAAATTTTGAATTTTAAATGACAAGAGAAGGTGCATGGATTTTAAATTAAGATTTGTTATGAATGAGAAAAATTTGATTCAATTCCAAATTCAAAACTTTTAAATGAGTTGAGACCAACAATGTTTATTTTGCATTATAAATTACACATTTCACATTATTTATATTTTTTCTCTAATTATACGAGAGAATAAATTAGATCACATATAACTTGCTACTTTTTATTTCAAAAACAATAATTAAAACACTATGTTTTTAAACAAAATCCCCCCAAATAAAGGTGCAAAATAACCCTTACGAATCACAAAAATAGTTTCTACACATTTACGAGTTACATAATTATTCATGAAAGAAATTAATAAAGTCCATGCCTATTTAGATGATTAAAAGTTGTGTTGCGTCTTTGAACATACAAAATTTACTTAAAGAAAAGTAATTATTAAAATCAATTTTGAATAAATAAGAATTAACTTTGTAATTGGCTTCCAAGCTTGTATTCTCTTTGTCTTAAAAAAGTCTAATCTTTTTTTTTTGTTCCAAAAACTTTAATAGTTATAGTTTATCACTCTGTAATAAAAATATTAATCCTTTTGATTCAACACCAAGGTTCCCATGACATTAGGAATTAATGTCATGGGATGACTAGGGGCGCTCCGGTGTCCCGTTCGTAAAATTGACCGTTCTTACATCCCCTAACTCACCTGGAAAACCCCCCACCCCACCTCGACCCGAACACACACACACCCCTTCAATTGCATCCCACGAGTTGATTTTGACTTTGGAATGAAATATCAAATATAAGTTTCAACTATCTCACATCTTTTTTCCTATTTGGCTTTTCATGGTATTGAATGTAATATTTTGATTATTAATATCTCTATTTAATATAAATACACATACTCCGGGTATTATTTAGCTAAACCTTATTTCGAGGACTAAAGGTATTTTTTTAATAAATTATGAGATTACATCAATTTGTCAATTTTATATATAGTAATAATAGTAATAATACGGAGTAATAACAATAATAAAAATAGCAACAATAACAACAATAATAATAAAATGAAAAACATAGCTTTCAAAGAGAAAATGATCCTCCGTACATATTTGTAAATAATTTGTTAAATCATTATAGGAAAAAACTATAAGAAGTTAGAAGAAACTGAAACAAGTTAAAAAAAGTAAAATTTTTTGACTCTAATGTCATGGGATGACCTGGGGGCCGTACCATATTCCGTTTTTAAAATTGACGGTTCATACCCCTCTTAACCCCNAAACCCCTCACCTTGCCCCGCTCCAAACCCACCGTTCCATCCCTTTCAAATGTATCCCTCAAATTTAGTTGATTTTGGAGTCAAAATTTTAACTTGTTAAATCTAACGCAAGTTAATTAAATCGTAAAGCTTAACGCAAATAGTAGTAGATTATCTTTTTCTGATAAAATTAAATATAAATGTTGAATTTGTTACCAAACATCATGAACATAATAAAAACTTTGTGAATGAATGAGAGTGCTCTTAGAATTTTCAGTG